AGACTGCTGTTGAAACAGATGGAATTTTCTGGGGGTAGAGAATTCTGCTGCATCTTTTTTCTAACAAGAAATTGCAGGAAACAATTTCTAACAATTCTTTCTCAGCCAAACTGTACAAATCCTTGCTATCTGTACCTTTGATGAACAGCACTTTCCACATCCTCATTTACAGTCAGTCAAGTCTGCTGTACAAAAAATATACAATTAATGCTGCAGATGCAATCAATTATAGTTTTTTTTAAAGAAAAATCTTATTTATATTAATAATTGTCCCCAAAAGACACAATTAAAATACATGTTGCTCAAATTAGTGTAAAGTTCAAAATAATCACTGAGAACCAGCATGTCCACAGCATGTCGAAATTGGCAAAATGATGGACACAGCATTGTGATCCAAGCCCTGCCCCTTTGGTACATGTGTTGATGTCACAGACGCATACAAAAAAAGGTTTGTTCACATCACCACACTTGCTTTCTTGTTGACACCCATGATAAGGATTTACATGTGTAGCCAAGATACAGTGTGAAATATATATGTGCATCTGCATGCATATACATAAGATGTATATGCAAAAACTAAAAAGAACTCTCATTTGCTGGCTCCAGGGAAGCAATGTAACTCTGAATTTGTCCAAACAAAAGATTTTAAGGACTAAAAGCATGTTTTAAAGGAATAAAACCTCAGGTAGGACAAAAAGAACCTTACTCTTTGCTAGAAAACACACATATGAAATCTAAACGTTCTCTAAAATGACCTCTTAGTCCCACCAAGAGCTACTTGTTATTAGCACAGACTTCTCAGTGGACTGATAGCAAGGTAGAGATTTAGAAATTCTAAAGTTCTTTTTAATAACTTTATTAAATTTTAAAAACAGAAAGATAAAAACTAACAAGAACTAATAATCAAGAAAAAGAATAGAAGAAAAGGATAAAGAGAAAGAAGTAAAGCAGAAATGCAGAAAAGAAGAAACAGAAAGACAAAAAAAGAATGACTTCCTACTTCTTTTACAGCAGATATAAGTAAAACATACTTTAAAATCTTACTCTAAGATTACAACTTAACATCCATTTTTTATAATCTATCAATCAATCAGTTTATTACAGTCATAGACCAGTACAACTAAAAATGCACAT